AATGATGAACTCTCTATCCTCTGTTATACTGTTCAGTCACATTGAATCCTGATGTGTTGTTCACCGAGGCTTAATATCGTAATTAAATAAGCCTCCCTAGGCTTTATAGCCAAAGTGCGTTGTGGTGATGGTGCGGTGGTGTACTCGTCGTCACCCGCATGATTTGGTCGCTATGGTCCGAGGTTCAAAACCAACCACTATCACCCAACTTTGATGGTAGACAGCTTTGCTGTTGGCCGGTTCAATCCCAACCTCATTTTAAGTAGTCCACTACTTTAAGTCCCGGGGCCAAGGTTGCCGGTTCACATCACACTGAACAGCAGATCTTCATGACTATGGGGTTTATCCGGTCTACTATTTGTCGCATGTGTAATAAAAGTATTCTTCCCGAAAATGTTTCCTGATCTCTATCCACAGAACCACCCAAAGAAGGCTAGGTTCGAAAGGAGTTTCAAGCTTTGAAACCCCTTGAGATTTGGATCAGACAACTTTTTACACGTTCATATTAAAGATGGGGGAGAAGTCATCATGAGAGAGCTTACTAGACTGCTCTCAAAGATCGGTAGGAAATCGGACATTGGTGAATTGACTGTTACACCCAGTGCAAGAAAGACAGTCGCAGCCTGTTTCCATCACGTGTGCATTAGGCGGATCGAAATAAAGCCGAAACTGTTGGTGTCCTTTTCACTATGCAAATCGACTTCGCAAACAATAGGTTGGATTCCGTGCAGGCCGCGGTTCATTTATCTTCACTCTCATTAACTGTTGGAACACCGAGGAACAAACTACTGACGTGCTTTTGGACATCAGAGGCATTGAAGGAAACGGCAGCGAACCAACAGCATCCTCGTTGGCATTTTTTCTCAAGCCAGAATGTTTGAAAAGCCATGTATGTACAGTCAGACTGCGTTTTTTGTCTTCTAACTACAAAGGTTCACTTTCTTTCCCTTCCTTCAAAATCCACGCAGTCGGTAAAGTTCACTTTACTGTATTTAGCTTAACAATGATAATGACTTTTTGTGACACACATCTGTGTGATGAACAGCAGACGGAGAGAACCTCATGGTGACTAAGATTTACTGTTCAATGATGGAAACCGGTAACCTAAGCCGAAGGACTTGAAGTGGCGAACCACCTAAGACCCCACTGGGTGAGTGTGGTGATTTTGTTATACCTTTGATCTTTATACCACTGCATCACCGTTTAATGATAATGCAGATTTTCTATCTTTCTATTGTAGCTGATGTACCTACATTGTTAGAAGATTAAAACTTCATTTCCGGCTGTCTGTTTTCTCTCTCACTCGTTTGTCGCTCAATCATTCGAGCTCGGCCAGTGGTCAGTGAAGTTCGCTTCACTGTATTTCGCTGTACGATGATGATGATGATGATTCGAGCTCATCACAATTTAATCTTCTAACAACGATGGATCGCTTATTTCGCCCGGATCGATTTGATACCGATCCTCATTCTTCATCCGCTTCCGAACAGTGGATTCACCGGCATGAAACATTCCGCAACTTCATATCTACCGTCGATCTACCCAACATAGATAAGAGAAAGTTGATGGTGAATTTCATATCGCCGTCCGTTTACCAACACAACCGATTGTCCCGATTATGAAGGTGCTATCGAAACCCTTGAAGGGCTATACGTTAAACCGAAGAACGAAGTGTTTGTACATCTACTGGCAACAGAAAAACAAGAACAAGGACAAACGATTGACAAGTTTACACAGAAACTCAGGGTTCTCGCAAAGGATTGTAACTTCGTCGCAGTTTCCGCCGAGAGACAACGCGATGAAGCTATCCGTGATGCTTTGATTACGGAGCTGCTTTCCAACGATATTCGCCAGCGGCTTCTTGTAGTTTGTAGTGTGTTTTTAACGAGGCTCATACTTTGGAGAATGCCTAGCAGCAGTCGCTCACTTACGATTCAGTCTTACATGTACCCTGCAGTTACATAACTAACCAGACAGATCCCACCATTTCAATACAACGTCCTGGAGTTTCTGATTCACAACCAGAGATCAAAGACCTAGTTGCAGTGACTTCCGTTAAATGCTTTTTCTGCGGAAGTTATCGACATCCTTGTTCGAAATATCCAGCGCGAGAAGCCACATGTAATTCTTGTGGAAAAAGAGGGTATTTCCAAAAGGTTTGTCGATCCAATTCCAACAATAATCTAAGACGTACATTACATGTATTAAATCCAAACATTTCGTCCGTTGTTGCAGGATCATCATTCGTCGGTCTTTCCAATTCCACGGTAACAATTCAAGTAAATGGAATAACTCTGAACGCGCCAATCGATACAGGCAGTTGCGGGAGCTATCTGCGCACCAACATTGCTGCTAGGCATCGATGGCCTGTAGAGTCATCCTAACATACCATATCAATGGCTTCCATCCATCTGTCCTGTGTTACCCAAGAGCACGTGTACGCCTCTATTCAATACAAAAGCACACTGCAATAGGGTAAAACTTTCCCTTTCAAAAGATTTATGCACAGACGTCATTCTCGGTCTAGATTTCCTCGGTCAACATCAGGATGTCATCATTCCCTTTAATGGAAATCATCAACATCATCGTACAGCGAAATATGGTGAGGTGAACTTCACTGACCGCCGCTAATCTCGCAATGCATACAAGGTTAGTGGTGAAATTTAAGGTGGACAGGGGTTGAATATATTTTGAAGGAGGGAGAAGATGAGCCACTATGGTCAACACACACAGCACGCAATCGAACTCTGCATACATACCGCTTCAAGCATTCTGGCCTGGTACGAAACGACAACAAGAACGCCACTGCTGCCGGTTCGCTGCCATATCCTTCAATGTCTCCAACCAACCAGTTGTGTAGTCTTTCGGACCCAACCTGGAAGGCGAGAGACACCTACTCTACCCAATGGCTCTGTGCATTTCTTCATGCCTCGTCCTCACGTCATCTGTTGACCTCCGCGTGGTTTCCTCCAGCTCGGATTAGCTACAGCGAATAAAGTGCGGTACGGCGGACGACAGATGGGCATACGCAATACGTGCCCTAGCTAACGAAGTCTACTAATCTGAATTCGGTGTGCTAGCAGGTTTAACCTGATAGACTCCCAAACACAAACGGCTTGCCTCCACTTTACTAACCCGTTCGCTCCATCCAACATGGGCTAAACTGCGTAAACACTAATAATCGAAAACTTCTAGTCGACAGATATCTTCTACTCGCAAATTCAGGGTCTCACAACCATAAAGCAGGACTGAACGAACGCTAGCACAATATACACGACCTTTCAGCTTCAGTGAAACGTTGCGTCTACGACAAAGGTGTTTCAGTCCTGCGTATGCTGCTCGAGCCTTGGAAATGCGGGTGGTTATCTCCTTTGCTGCACTACCGTCGTTGGTCACGTAATCCACCATAACTAAATCCTGGCCATTTAGTTTCAGAGCGGGGGTAGAGGAAACCCAGTCTTGCAACATCACTGCACTTTGAAGGTGCAAAGCACACACCGAATGTGGCCAATGCACTTGTTAATCTATCAAGTGCACTTTACGCGTCGTCCATACATTCGAACAGATAGACGAGGTCATCGGCGTACTCCAAATCGCACAGCTTTTCTCCACCTGTCCATTCAATACCTACGCTTTGGAGTTCACTTATTGCGTTCTCCAGTATTTCGTCTACGACGAAATTGAACAAGACCGGTGAAAGAGTGCACCCTTGACGGGCGCCGCTGCTGGTGAGCAACGGCCTACTTAGTTTGTTGTAGACCCTTACACGACCGGAGGTCTGTGAGTACAATGACCTCTGTAGGTTAACGTACTTCTGGGGCATTCCTTTTCGNCGGGTCAAGGAATACTGCGATCGTTGGCCGACGGGTGTGACGCAGCTCAAGGACCTGAAGCAACG